GAATCTGCTGCCTCTAACTTCATATACTTCACAAAGTGTCAAGTATGGAGGATGAAGAGAGATGATCCAACCAACAAAACTTGACTAACTTTCATATCGGGATTTATCGATGGTTCCGTTCACTTATATCAAAAACATGTATTATAAAAAAATACCTCACTTAGCTTCCAAATTCTGGCTACTTAAAAGATGTATTGTTATTGTAAAAATTGTATTTGCTGGAAAGGGTTATACAAGTTAATAACTGATAATAAGATAAGGTCAGTGAATACTAAGACTGTGTCGTTGATTGGTTCAGTTGTAAGTTTGCCAATGTTTGTGGATTTTTTCTTATTTTATTTGTATAAAGTATAAATAAACCGTGACATGACTAATGTAAATGTGTGTTAGTCAATTGGTCCAGTAAATGATTGCGTGTGTGTGCCTACACATCATCTCAAGATTCCCGCCACATTGTGTATCCCATCAGCAAACTTCGCCCACATTTCCAAGGCTGAGTGCAGATATCAGTTACATCTGACCTCACGTCACTCACACACGTGCCTAAGCAACTTTCACTTAGATTTTGGGTCAAAAGTGTAAATATTTTAATTTTGATTTAATTAATTTTATTTTATGTGTAACCTTCACATTCAGTGGCGTAGTCTCTAGCCCGGAAACTTTTTACACATTCAGTCTATGCCTAGAGAGTTGAGGAATCATCACTGAGATATAAGTCATTGGGGATTGGCTGGATTTGAACCCGAAACCAGAGAAATGAAGTTCCATGCTCTACCACTAGTCAAACTCTCTACTCAAACACATTTTATGGAAAGAACACGCTCTTCACGTCTTTACATTTTGAAACCCTTAGCTGTGTCATTTTTTACCTTGCCATTTTGAACTAACTTGGAAAAATATCAGTATGAGTTTTTTTTACTAGTATCATTGTTTAGGAGGTCGAGCCGGTCTAGTGGTTAGAGCAAGGGACTACGGCCCCTGAGGCACCGGGTTCAAATCCCGTCAAATCACCAATGGATTTTATCTAAGTGATAATTCCGCTACCCCTAGGTCTAGCCTGAAGTAATGTGAAAAAAAATCCTAGGACAAAAAGTCATAGTTTAACAAATTTTCTTTGGTCAAGGAGTGTACCTTAAAAGGTCACTAGAGAGATTGGGGACACCCTGTGTATTTACTCTGTTGTAAAGCTAGAGTGTAAAATTTGTTTCTTGCGTTGCGTTCTTTATTTTAAAATATAAATTTACCCATAATTTACTATTGGTTCCAAGCATAAACAGTTTGAAGTTAACAAGATTATTAACCACTTGCCACAACTCAAACGCAAACACAAAGTTACACAAGTTTGTTTCGCCACAAGTTTGTATTTGATTTGAAGATTGTATTTGACAACATTCACACCTTGTTGTACAACTTAGCATTATCGTTATCAATAAAATAAAATATATCTTTCATCATTTTCCTACCATAATATGGATGTTGAAGCATTGCTTTTTAGATATCCACAGTCATCATCTACATAGGATGATTCTGAATTCATTTGGAAATAATACAAATTATTTAGTTTTCAATACTCTATGCCGCAGGTCTTAGGGATCAATCTAAATTATTTTATATTGGTTAATCTAATAAGTCTGACATAATTTCTTACAAGGCAAAGAATCAAATACAATAATCTGCAGGACCTCACAATAAGGTCAGAAATGTTCTCAGAAAATGTGGAGCGGAAGACAAATATTGTTTGTTGTTCTTCTACTGTAATGAAATATTTTGGCTTTCTATTTTTAACAAAATTGGAAAAGATCAGTTATTTTTGTTCATTACACACATTGCAATAAATATGACTTAAGTTTATACGTAATTAGCAACATAAACAAATGCAGCATTTCGGTTAACTGTTACAAATATTTTTGTATAAATCTCTCTTCCTATGGATTTTCACAGTGTTATATTTTTAATATCGTATTTTCTATTTAAAATGCATATTATGCAAAATAAAATAGCTTCTAAGAACTTGAAAGAGCTTAAAGCGGCTAACGAATTTTAAAATAAATATGGTTTCATTTTTCTATCACACGCCAAAATGTTTTATACTATACACACTATAATCGTACCTATATCAAAAATATAAAAAAGTTGCAACCTATATGCATTAATATTCAAGCCAAAGTCAGCAAGCAAAATACAGTGCCCAAGTAATTCTCTTTTTCAAAGATACATTTTAATTTAATTTTTTTATATAATTTATAACAGGTGAAAATCTTTGCAAACTTGATTTTGAAGCCATAAGTAACTATATACAAACTTCAGTTAAAAGGAAGCTGGAGTATAAATTAAAACAAGAGCTAGGGAAGGTCCATGTTTATCTACATTCATACAGTGGAGCCAACCCGCTGTTGAAATAAAACCAAAATTCTCTCACAAACTAATGAATTGTTGTATGTAGTGTTACTTTTAAATAAGAATGTCATATTATTACTGACTTCTACTTAATATTACCTAAGCTTTAACTTGCATTATTATAAGTTAGCAGTATAGCAGTATGTTTATTATAAGTTGAGAATGGAAACACGGGATTATTTTAGTAGTAAGTAGTATAAAAAGTAGGAAAATAGTGCAGTACTATTCTTGGAAATAGTCACAATTTTCTGTTAAGATGTAAGGACGTCGACTTTTTTAAGTAGGCCAAAAAGTACATACTTCATCTCAATGTTTGAGTTATTATCAGGTTAAGTGTCATAAAAGGCCATGTGATAACTTTGCATATTTTAATATCAAATTTCCAATTTCTTTATTCTACAAAGATGGTTCTAACATAATAATTTAGTTATACCAAAGCAAAGCTTTTGCAGGAATAAAATAAAGTCAGTCCGAACAACTACATTAACAATTTATTGTTTTCCATTTACAAATATATAGGTATGTTACGTATAAAGCTGATAATTCATCTTTAGGGCTGCATTGTATAAAACATTCATATAAAATATTTTACATCCTTTATCACTACTGGACGTCAAAATATGTCTACTGCTGAGGATGTCTCGTTTTTACGCCATCCTGTGAACAACATAACATAATCATTAACATTTCAAACAACCTTTTCGTGAAACAAATAGAGGTTAGTTTCAATGTCATTTAACATTTCGGATTAGTAAGGTTTTTTTCGTAAACAGCTGGGGGTGTTATAAAAAAAGTGTAATTCTGTTACAATATTTGTTAGAATTATTTATTTTGTATTTATATAGCCTCACACAAATTTCAAAATAAATTAAATCATTTAGAAAATCTAAATTTTTGTCAACCTTTCCGAGTATAAACAAGTATAGAAAATTACGTTATGTATGAATTAATTAAGCTGTCTACTACTACTTATGAAAAGGGGGGTCGAGACCATAATAATTCATATACATTGTCGAAATACATATTTTTACGCGTAAATGGTGTTGATTAGAAGTTATTAAAAATTTTTAAAGTCATAACTAAAATTAAATGTATGTCTATGTAATTATTAATTTTGTTTAATACTTACTCAATTATTGTTGACGATCTCACACTCTTTCTTAGGTCCGGGTCAACCATAACAAGGACGAAATCCTACAAAATATAACGTTTAATCTTAGTACATAAAGGAGTACGAAATATTTTCTGAGTGAGATTAAGTTTCATGAAAAAGAAATTATTGTTTGATATACAGTATACCTAGTCATTTCTTCAATTTATTTGAAACGTGTTTCACCAAAATCCATAAAAGTTCACCCACCACCAATTTAATTAAAAATATAACTAAAGCAATTAGTTATTAATTATATTTTATCCCTTTAATACCACCCCTCTCAATTACATTACAATATCCCTTTAAGCCACACAACAGTAATATCATGTTACCAGATTAGTTCTGAAAGTCTTGACAGTGAAGAAGTCAAATCATCCAGGACTCCAAGATATTAAAGCGGATATTGCTGTTACCAACACAACAAAAAGTAACTTCCCATTGTTGTGATGCCAACATAACAAAATGTAACTTCCGTCAATTGCCCTCCTCTGTCTCTGACATCCCTTAAACTACTTCTTCTTCTCACTGTCTCATCCCCGCTCGGATTTGAGACATTTATCATTCTATAAAAATTTGTTTTGCTTTTGTTTTTTAACTTTTTTTCACGAAAATTTAGGTTTTCTCTGACAAACTTCCTATTTCAACAGTTGGAAAAATTGTGTTTTCTTTTCCCTTTCTTCTTACTTGTTTACCTTGTTTTTAAACAGTTAAATATTAAACGCATCATAACTAATACCATAAAATTGAATCTGAGTTTTTTGCTACCCTTTCAACCACAAATAAATGGAACTATTTAATTAAAACCTTAAAAAAATAAACATATTCCAAAGCACCAGACGAACATCGGCATTTTATATTTGATTTTTGTTAAGGATTCATCCCAGGTGTTATAATGTATCTGTTTTAAGCTTCATGGAAAATATCTAACTGATAAATATCCAATGAAACGATAGTAAAATTTTAAAAATATTATTTTGATTGGTTTGCAACATGGAGTGCATATTTGGGTTTCCTCGTTGTCATTAATTCCATACTGCTACACATTTAATTAAAGCAAAGTCAAAGAATTTTTATTAAAACTATATTAATTTTTTTCTTATCCCATCGCAAAACATGGGGAAAACAGTTTTTAAAGAACTAAGTTAATCAAAAAATGAAAATACTGTTGGTTCCGCTAAGGCCATAAGTAAAACTATTCAAATGACATATTTCTCGTTCTTCCTGTTAAAAATCCGTCTGAAATGTATAGTATCAAATGCATACCAAGTTATGACAAATAGTTTATGAGCTAACGAAAAACAACCACCAAAATAATTCCTTACCTTAGAAACGCCTAACAAATGTAGCACCAAATCCCTTTCGCAAAGCTCTTCGAGGGCATTGTATAGTGTAAACATGAACATTTGTAATAGACACATATCTCGTTAACAATATTTAGCTATTTACAAACTTCCCGAGCACAAATTGCCGCCAGGCCTTAGCTCGAGGCTACAAGTAACCTTCACAAGCCAACGTTTTGTCTTCAGACGAATGTCCCGTGTCTGTTTTTCACGTCTTCCTTGTTTATATTATCCGCGCTGACACTCATTCTCCTCACATTACTAACAGGTGTTCGCAAAGACATTGTTCTAATATTTATGTCTTTACACAACGGTTTGGTCAAGAGGGAAGTTCCAGAGGAAATAGTCATACGGTTTTTACTCCCTCTCAGTGGTTTTCTGATCGTGCTCCTGATCATGACAGAGTCTTTCCCACTGAGTGTTCTGATGTCGCTGCACGGGTCGTAGTATAAAGGCGTACAGCAGGAACCAGAGTGGAGAATGGCGCGGAACCCTACTCGGAACTTGCGGTTGAAGAAGGCGTAGAGGATGGGGTTGATGCAGGAGTTGGAGGCTCCCAGCCACTGGGCGAAGGGAAGCAGGTTGACTATGAGGACCTCTTCTACACCACCGGGACTGACGTCTCCTCCAAGCTTGATCCTGGTGAAGATGACGTAGAGAGGCAGCCAGGAACAGGCGAAGAGAATTATCACTACCAGCAGCATCTTGATCACCTTCACCTTCGACCTGGAATAAAAAATAGATCTGAGGCAGCCATAAAATGAACACAATTACCACTTGAAGCCTTCCAAGAACATTTGGACCACCATTCCCTTTGACCTAACCTTTATAAAAGTGATTAAAACTAGAACTTAGTTGATAAGTTTATAATGGGATGTTTCGTGATCTTTCCTTCAGCTAACCATCCTATGAAATTACATTGCAACAGTGTTTGACTAAGTTTTTATATGAAAAGCTCATAAAGCTAATATTATTTATATTAGAAATTGCCTGGAATATACACCTGAACCCCTTTAACAGTAAAGCAAAACGAAACCTTATGTAAAGATGAAGTCAAATGACAAAGCGTAATAAAGACCCAAAGTTGGCTATGTGGTCATTGACGCTTTAGTAAAACGTGGTTTGTGTTTAAACATGTATTGCAGTTCTAAATTAAATTTTACTGCAACGCATGCCAAATAAGGGTTTCGCCAAGTTAATCTATTATATGTAGGTATCATATATGAATTAGTAAGTACAGAAAGGGAAGTCATCAAACTGTGTATGAGATGGTGCCCCCAAAAGGAACAACTACGAAATTCACTGCTCCGAAAATAATGTATAAGCAAGAAACTGCTTCGAAAAAATCCCCTTAGTCAATACATCGAAAGATTGTGAGTGGTCATGCACTGATCGAAGCAGGACTGTTTCGAGCCCGTGTTTCGGAGTTATGCCTTTCGAAGCAGTGCCTGGATCTCTTGGTTACTAACCTGTGTATGAGATGATTGCCGTTGCCATGTTGTTCTCCCGGCAAAGTTCTGCAGCAAACTCTTCTCCAGATGAGGAAGTAACACACACTGATGAGACAAAGTGGTAGAAGATAACACATCACTAGGTTTGCCACAACGAAGTACACGTTCTCACTGTAAGGCGTAGGCCAAGACTCTCGGCACGTCTGATGGCAAAAATATCTTATTGGTCGAAATAAACGGTTTAAAACTAACACTGTATCCCAATAATTTGACATTAAATTCAAACATTCTAATATACTTTCTCAGCCAAAAACTTGAATTAATTATTCTAAGGGGAAGGGGTAATTTGATGGGCTTTATGGGGAGTCGCAAAAATTACAGCTACTCTTAAACCGTAAGTTTTACAACTCTTGGAGTTCGTATCAATTTGTTAAGGGTTAAAACGATATTAGTAAATTTCAATCAAAATTATTACAGAAGAGTTTTTTTATGGAAAGGTGGGGTGTAAAAATACAAAAAAAAATACCAACCTCAAAGTCACTGCCCTCATATGGGGTCTGCAGCTTGAAGAAGACAGCCCAGGGAAGTGTGATGGTGAAAGAGAAGACCCAGATGAAGATGACAGCTGATCTACAAGCCTGGAGAGTCATTTGCCATCGCAAAGGGTAGCAAATGGCGAGACATCGTTCTACAGAGATGGCAACCAATGTGTTGATGGAGGCGTTCACAGAAACACCTTGTAGATAAGGGATGGTCTTACAGAGAAGCCAACCCATGGTCCAGGCTGTACAAACACATACATTACCATTATATTGATACCAGAGGACAATAGTAGCAGATGGCGAGACATTGCTTTATAGAAATGGCAACGTAAATAAAAACAGCTGATCGGCTAGTTAAAAGACAGAGTAACAGCTGATCGGCATGTCACATGACCTTGAACCAGACTCAACAATACAGTCTTTCCAAACCAGTACAATCCTGTGCACGCACTTCTAATAAATGTACAGTTTTCGTGTAAATTGTGTCCATTTTTCAACGTGTGATTTGTAGTAAAATATTACTAATCGTAGAAGAGGATAAACTATAAGATATGGACTTTTCAATGAAATAAGTAGTTTTGCCGCACGTCTTAGGATATCGCCAGGTAAACAATATTTTATATTACACTTTAATCATGTTTAATGTCATTTTTGACCTAGAATATTATAGTTGCATATTTAAATTATAAATGCTTACTATAACTTAAAATTGGAGAAGCAAGGTAGTTAAATAAATAAAAACTCGTTATGATGTATTGGACAATTGTAAAATCTTAGCATTCAAGTAGGCCTAAAACCTCCTTATAACCCAACTCAGGTAATGTGCTGTTTCAAGGCAGGCAATTTATATGTATGTTGGAACCATGAATATGTAAATATGTTTACCAAAGCTTCCCTAAGACTTTGTATCAGTCAGGTCACCGTGCAGTGTCATAAAATTTGCTTGAGGCTTTGCTTTGAATTTTCATTAACTATTTATACGGTTAATAATGTTCTAGTAATTGATTCGAAACCGTTTAAAGTGTGCTTCTATATTTTTATGGGTTTCGTTTTGTTAGGAAGTATTAAAATATCTATATAAATAAAATTAGAGTTTTGTCTGTACATTGCTCCGAATTATATACTTTTAGGTTATTTTTGCGTTTTATACATTAAAGAAGCAGAAACGAGTCTTATCTCAATTTCTGTCTGTCTGTCTGTCTGTCTGTCTGTCTGTCCCTTTGTCTGTAACACTCAAGATGGCATTTTACGCAATCTTCTCCGTGAAAACCAGAGTACATATCAAGATCCAAGTCATTTTAATGTATTCACTGGATTGGCGAGAGTGTTTTTAGTGATTTAAATATAGCCTCACTACTTTGTAAATAAAATTACGGACGTTCAAAAATGCAGTTTTGTGCGATTTTTGTCAAGTTTTCGTTCAATTTTTATCACATAATCGTCTATGAAATAACGAACAGCTGTTCGGATCAAGATTATTTTTTCTAGCTGTCAATGACATGTTTACAAATGTTGTTTACAAATACCGCAACTATTTCGAATCACGTTTTGAAAGCAAATCCCAACCAAGTGAGATTAAAAACGTTTTTCTTACATAATAACGGATTTAATTAATCGCAAGTGCAATAATATAGTCTAATAGTGTAACCGTAAATGAAATTAAATAACTAGACATCGTCCAAATTGGAACCAGAAATTCTTTGAGTATAAAATGTTTCTTGAGTTTTGACAACCAGAAAGAAGAAGATCTTGAATCAGTGTTGTATAGGGCTGTGACACTGAAATGATCGTCGCCAATAGCTTACAAAAAAGGTTTCCACTCATTGACGGCGCTTCAATGGCGGTTGTGTAAAGTGTAAAGTAAAAAATCACAACTGCAGTGGGCGACTGTAACAGAGGTTTAACAGAGGAAGTGCTAAACTCGCTTTTCCAATGTGTCACTTTCTGTTTCTACTCACCGTGTGATGCAATCGCTGGACCATACAGCCAATAGGCCCATAGCTCATATCTTGGGTACGTAAGCCTACATATTTATTCATAACAACCTTTTTGATGACGATCCTTGATACCGGTACTTTTCCATAGAATACATGGCCTATTTACTTAAAAAATAAAATTACAAATGACCAAAACCCCAACATTGTGTGATTTTCGTCACATTTCTTTCTAATGTTAATAGAGATACTAATCATTGTTTAGAGAATGCGTAATCTATTAAATAACAAAAAGTTGTTTGGGTAAGGTTGCTTTTTTTCAAACTGACACCGATAAGTTTACGCTATAACTTTTTACGAGAAAATCCAAAAGCAAGAGCTCAATAACCTCGGGACTAGATATTAATGTATTTAATTGGTCCGATTTACTATAGTTCTTAGGTAGGTTCTTACGTAGGTACTGGTAGTTTACAAATTTGATATCGTTGGTGTTGCACCTTATTTATTAGAGCCGTCCGTATTCAATTTAAGTGATGTCTTAACTCTGTATAAGTTTTGCTTTTTCTGTCTGGATTCCAAATCTTAGCTTACCCGGTATGCTAAGAAAATGATAACCTATTTGAGTAAAACATTTGTTGGGCAAACCATCATGAATTGTTTACGCCTTTATATTGTTTATGTATCAATAGTTCGTGGCCTTTGTTGGATTGTTGTATTGTGTTGCTTTGTTGTATGTTGGTAACGCATTAATGTCCTTATTTCTCAGTGTTTCATGGAATGGACAAGAGCACCTTTGATACTGAAAATGTCAACCGGAATAAAGTGTTAAATGGTGAGGTTGAGGTAGTACTTTAAATACGTTTAAGTTAACCGATGTGGAAAGTAACTTTCAATTATAGGCCTACTTTAGGGCTACGCTTCATGGATCTATAAAACATTTTTTAGTTTAATCATTGGACATATGGACCAACACGATCCGGGTGACATTTAATTGCGAAGCATTTATTTTGGCTTGAACTGTCAGATACTGTATTTGCGAAGGTTTATATATAATAGTTTTGCCAGCATATCTGCAAATATACAAACTAATTGCTGTTCTTAATCTTAATATAAGAAGGTTTCAACTGACTATTATAAGATCCCCGTGCGTAGAACGGGCACACAGCTAGTAAACAATATAGTTTAATTCCTAGCAGTAAAAAATCAAACTATCAAACTATTAGCTGAAGTTTTACAGAAAAAATAATGTTTTCTATTTCCTGTGTACTTTACAGACTATATTGTGATGATATGCAAATAACACATTATTATAAAAATGCACCTGACATAAGCCTAGTTGGTTATAAAATAATGAAGCCAAGAGCCAAGCTGAGCTAATCTCCTCTTTGATGTAGTCTTTGTTAATTTACTAAATCATTTTAATGAAAAACTAAATTATTCATCGACACGAGTAATTTAGTTCTTTGTTGATAATGAAGATCGTTGGTAAATTATGAGAGGTTAAAGTGCTCGCCTAACAATCGAAAGGTCGCCAGTTCGATCCTAAGAAGTCAGTAGATTTTTGATGGTTTGAAACTGGAAATGGTCCCTGGTCTAGTGTTTCTAGATTGCTTCAGGTCTTCTAATATTAATTAAAAAAAACTTACCTGCCATGACGTTACTAATGAGGGTGAACGGAAGACAGATTACGTTGACCAACAAGTCTGCACAGGCGAGGTTGGCGATGAAGAGGTTTGTAGGAGAACGCATCCGAGGTGAACGATAAACTACTGTAACTACCAGACAGTTGCCAGTGACTCCAACAACGAACACAGCGGAGTAGGCGACCACCAGGAAGACTGTGACGGGGACCGGGTACCTGTGAAATCAGTAGGTAATCAGTAGATAATCAGGAAGACTGTGACGGGGACCGGGTACCTGTGAAATCAGTAGGTAATCAGTAGATAATCAGTAGACAATCAGTAGACAATCAGGAATACTTTGACGATTACAGGGTATCTGTAGAATCATTAGACAATCAGTTAACACTTAGTAATACTTTAAAATTGGTAGACAATGTAAGTTCTAAACTAAAATTACATAACTAAATTTCAATTACGATCGTTTGGGGCGTTTTAGAGAATATAAGATTATTTTTGCTATGGGGTTGTATGGAAAAATTTCCATTACAAATCTAAATTTAAAAAATGGTAAAATAGTTGGAGATATCGTGGTTTGGTACACACATACCGAATTTCATCAAAATCGGACAACAGGTGTAGTATGTAAGTTTAGCTCTTTATATACAAATCCCCACCTCTCAAACATATGACCGCACAAATGCATCACTTCAAACACCACTTTTTTGAGTCCAGGGGGGCAAAGCTCAAACATTTTGACAAAAACAATACTTTCTACATATATCCACTCAGACGGAAAAAAACAATCACATAGCCACTCAACTGTTGTAACTAGGTTTTGACACAACTCAACAGAAAGTATGAATAGAAATTTCAGTATTGTAAACTAACCTGAGCGTCTCCAGGTCCTCAGGGGTTTCGTTCATGTCTGTCTGCAGGACATCATGATTTCCTGAAATAAAAGAAATATTTAATAGCCCAATAGGGATACAAATATGTTAGTTTTTTACATAAACTACTAATAATTAAATATGCACTACGTTACGTACTAAACATACAATCTGACATCGTGTCTTCGTGGTCCATTGTTGATTTCGGATAAACCTTATTCACACAATGACAAAATTCTGATATTTTCCACCAACCCAAGGAATAATATTTATGGTGGAACCAATTTTTACCTTACAAAACTCCGTTCCCATAGTCCCACCATGCTGGTTCACCAAATCAAATATGTATTACCATTGACTATAGGATACAGAAGTTGTTGTATTAATAGTCAAAGATATTACGCTTCAGACATACGGCAATACCTCATTCCCTATAAGGAAAATTCACTAAAACATAATTACTTTTTTAATAAAACGACTTCAGCTTACTCCTTGTAAGACAATCTCAGAGATGAATTATTAACGGGTTTGAAGATTTAACATTATGAAAATGCTTGAAAGGTGATACCTTTGCAGCATCGAGTAATCTAAATCTACTTCTTCTCTCAGTTTAGTTTTAAATTTAATAAGGTCTTCAACATTAAAATAAAAAAAGTTATCAAAAGAGACTTACTACAGATGCATTGATGAATTATTTAGTTAGTTTAGTTTAATATTAGTATTTCAAGAAATGTAACCGTGCAGCTTTAATTGAAAATTAAAAACTTCATGAGAATTTGATTAATGGTGAGATCATTAGCCCATCAATTCTTGTTCCCAATATAAAAGGCAAAGCCCTCACTGACTCACTGACTGACTGACTCACTCACTCACTCATCACTGATTCTCCCACTTCCCATTTACCTAGGAGGCTGAAATTCGGTACATCGATTCTTTGGGCATTAAATAGGAAAACTAAGTCGTTTTTATACTGATCAGGCTTTCGGGCTCTGCCCCAGTGGCTCTGGAGCTTCCCATGTTAATCTTAAGATTTTTCATATTTAAAAGGAATTAATGAATCTTAACAGCTGTTTCAATTAAACAATTTAGTTCTGTTCTATGATGTTTAATAGCATTAAAGTTACAAGGATTACCAACAGGGTGCAGCACTATTATTTTGTTTTTAATTTATGACAACAGCTTAATCTGCAACCAAAAGGTGAGTGAGCGTAGCGAACGAACTTCAACCTGGACGTGATTGAGCCATGCGAATAGTTATGAAGTTAAACGGGGCAAAGCCCGCGGGTACAGCTAGTTACAAATAAATGTTTTTACGTTATCCTGGTTTGTATGAAGATATTTCTTGTTAAAACACCTGATTATTATTTAAGCCACTTATAAATACTCTTCATGAGACACTACTGAAAAACATGTTTTTTAAACTAATGCCCAATGACAAATATTTTTCCAAATTTCATATATATAATACAAGTACACTCTATTTTGGTTGTTATATTGTATTTTCATTTTATCATTATTTATTTAAATTATTTCATTGAAAATATATATCTTCATTACAGTGTTACACAATGAAGTTGTTTAAGAATGTAAATTAAAGTGCTTTTCAATGATTTTCACAGCAGAGATAGTAAAAAAGTCCACTAATGAGTTTAAATATTAACTGGTCAAAGTCAAAGGCTTGAGAAGATCCCAGTCTACAGCGATATCTTTTAAAGCTAGAGATAAATGACTTTTTAAAGTTGTGTAATCACAATAACGTCTAGAAATGACTGGTACATTGGTGGGCCTATTGATTTTCTCCTTAACTAAAGACAATAATAAAACTATTTCCCACAAACTAATACCATTGGCATTTATGCTGGGTTAGGTTAGGTTCGGTAGAACTAGGATAGGTCAGGATAGGTTTTGTTTGCAGTTAGGTTATGATAGGCTATGAGCTAGGTTAGATAAATTGGTACTTTCCTGTTAAAGGGAACATTCATTAATATCGATATATTTGTTTTCCGATCCATTACAAATTGACAACTGATTTTGTTTAGGCTAAATATAGACTATTATATGGATTAAGAAATTAAACAGTTCTAAGCTAACCTAACATAACCAACCAAACTTGATGTACTATTTAAAAATTCCTTTTGAAAAGGCAAGTTAAACACGGATTTTTTAAATGTTACACAGCAAGTTTGGTTAGTTATGTTAGGTTATTTTTTTAGAACAGTTTCATTAAACCCCGTTAATTTGCTGGACAATAGTGAATTTCCCAACAGACTAAAAATTGTGAAAGTTCTTGAACTCCCATACCGATTTGTATAGTTTTTTAGTTAAACATGATATGACTACCTATCTATTTTTCCCAGATCTTTCACTGGGGAGATTCTTGGTCAAGTCACTTACTTATATTATGCCTTTTACTAATTGTTCACAGTTGTACTGAACAGATTGTAATATAATTTATAAATAAAAAACTTTTTTAAACAAAACGTTTTTAAACGCCCTAAAAAGTAGAAAATAATTTACAAATAATTTATAAATATGTTGAGAGAGTATAAATACTTGTACGATTTAAAACGAAAAACGTTGGGTGCATGCAATTAATTGATAATAATACATTAGTTCAATAGGTGAAGGTAAACTATCTATTGCATGCACCCCACGTTTTTCGTTTTAAATCGTACAAGTATTTATACTCTCTCAACATATTTATAAATTATTTGTAAATTATTTTCTACTTTTTAGGGCGTTTAAAAACGTTTTGTTTAAAAAAGTTTTTTATTTATAAATTATTTTCTATTTTTTTAATGCGTGAGGATGTTAAATCTATTTCAAGCATCTATATCAGATTAAGACAAAGGCATGTGGGAAATCTAAGGTTTATTTGAGTTTCTTTTCATATAATTATGTATTAGATTGAATGTATGGCCTACCTACTAACTATAAATATATCAATCTATTTAATTTATTGTTTACTTTATAGAACATTAAATAAATAACAATTTACATTATTAACAATATCTTTATATCTACAATCAGATTGTTTATCTATATTTTGAAATGTTTGTATAAAGAATCTCTTGGGAGCATAACCTGTACCTCTTAACCTCTGCTCTTTGAACTGTCAAATTTAAGTATTTACAGCTGACTTAAATAATTGATATATTTATTTACATTCTTTCAAAATGTAAACATGAAAAATTTGGAAGCCCATGGGGCGTAGCCCAAGGGAAATATGAAATTTAAATGATATAATATCGCATTGTCATGCATTTGTGAGCTATGTTTCAAATTTCAAGTCTCTAGCTTATCGGGAACATCGTTTAAAATTGATATCAAAATTTGTAGGAAAGCGAGCTAATAAAAACAAGCCCATGGGGCGTAGCCCGAAAGGAAATATGAAAATTAAATTATATAATATTGCAATGTAATCCATTTTGTGAGCTATGTTTCAAATTTCAAGTCTCTAGCTCATCGGGAAGTATGAAAATTTTCAAGAAATCGATTTAATAAAAACAAGCCCATGAGGCGTAGCCCAAGGGAAATATGAAAATTAAATTGTATAATATTGCATTGTCTTCCATTCGTGAGATATGTTTCAAGTTTCAAGTCCCTAGCTCATAGGGAAGTTAGTATAAAATCGGTTGCAAAATTTGTAGCGGACAAGAAAGCTACCTAATAAAAACGTTTTAATTAATGAAATAAAGTTAAAAAAACAAATTTTTATTATTGTTTGTTGATACTGAACAATATTTATCGTAGTTGTCAGCTGATATGTTTCAATTTGTTAATATTGATATATCAAGAAAAAAATCATCGATAATAATGAATGTTCCCTTTAACAGGAAAGTACCGATATATTTTTGAACACAAATTGGCCTATTTATCTATCTCCTTCATAGTAATATTTTCTAAATATAAATATGCTTAACTGTTACGTTTAGTTTAGTTAGGTTCAGTTCGGTTGCATGAGGAAATGTTATGTTAAGAGTTAGATTAGGTTAGGTTAGGTTAGTTTGTTATTATTGTCGAACTTGTGATAGTTTCAACTAACTTTGAATGATTTCAAAAGTTATAATGGATGTAACTGCATTATTTAATCATTTTTCACATAGTCTGGAATCTGTTCTCGTTAACCTAAAATACAGCAAATTAAAATACAGCAAAGTACAGCAAAGTACCAATATTTAACTAACAGTAATAGGTAAGATTTTTAAATTGTTAGACATAACTTTTAACTAACACTGATATTTTTTGCATTTCAATTATATAACAATCTTTACGTATACAATGAAAACTTGCACATCTTTTTACTAAACAATTGCTACGTATACAAAGAGTTCTGAAAACATTTCGGGTACATTTATCGTGTGTAGACCTATATTCACATGTCTTCTATGTTTAAACAAGTTAAGGCATGTTAGGCGAGACAATCGGAGGGCAGACAAATAAATCTTCCAAGAGTACTTAACTCTTATTACATCTCTTATTGGACACTGATCTTCTAATCTCCCATTCTCGTTTGCTGTTAGTTTTTAGTGTATCGCAGCTTGGTTGTAGGAAAAGTCCTAGGAAAATGTTCCTAGAACATTCTTTGCTAAATTATATTTATCTTAATTTACTTTAATAATCCATTCGTAACTTTATAAAATACTTGTAGTATACCTTGTAGTGTTGCCTCGTTAGTTTTTTTAAATGTCAAATCCCAGCTAAAACTCTTTTTTTATTTTTCTTCAAGATAAATGTTTACAAAAATCAAATAAATGATTTTTTCATAAAAGTGCGATTTTTAAGCAAATGATAGCAAAACAAACGTTTTTTGTACTTTGATATATAGAGGCAATAATACAAACTACAATGTTCTGTAATTCAAGTTCTTTAGTTTTTTTTTTCTTTTTTTTAAATAGGTGGCCTTTTTTAACCTTGCATTTGCCCGTTCACATAGACTAACCGCCCGTGCGTGGATCGAATGCAGCAAAGCAAGGAGTGAGGCGGTACAGTACAAAGGTGAACTGTACTGATAAAATTCAACAATGAACAATGAATATACTTTCAACAATGAGGCAAGTTGTTGTTGCTGTTGGTTAGGAAAGAGTCCTCATTAAGGCAACATTATTATGATACTGACCTTACAACACCAGACTAAAATATTGAAATTGTTCAAACGGATTCATAGAAGGCGAATTTTAGTTTTGTGTCTGAAAACTAAACATCTCTTCCAGAATGATATTGCTCATTTCAATATTCAATCCAGCTCAAAGTAATACAGAGTCTTTGAACAGAAGCACTAAAGTTTCGTCAAAACGTGCGATGCTTATCTAAGCATCTAAATATTTAAGCTTATATCCTCGTTTTCCAAAAGAAACATATCAAGAAAACATCTAGACTTGGCAATCATTCAATAACAACAAACTATTGTGCATAGTGCACTAATTTCGTTACATACATTTCATAAATCAAAATCTATACATCAATATGTTTTGTATACTTATAAAACATTTTTAGCTTACTATAATTTTATATGTTGATTTTTCAATATTTAATTTTACTATTTGTCGTCATGAAACTTTATAAGTTGTGGTGAGTACACACTTATTGGGAAATGTTTTCAAATACATGTTCTAAAAAAAAAAAAAATTGAAAATTTCCTTTTTTTAATTTACTAATATAAAAATTTATATCAAAAGTGTTTGGTGTATATTTGCTCAAAAGACCTAGGTCACCACTAAGCCTTCTACATTATATCACTATTATGTAAAAATAATTTTTTATATATTTAAGTGAAATATCAAATCCATTTCTCATCAACATTGGGTTGAAAGGTCAAATGTTGAAGCTCGCATCTCTTGAGAGATGCGAGCAGTTGAAAAGGTTTCCAACATACAAATACGTTGTGATTGTGAATAGGAAAATTGGAACAGTATTAACAGTATTAACAGTATACAATACGATTCACTAATTTTAATTCGCATGTACAAAATATTTAAAAATTTGTTGACTTATTTCAAATTAACGGAAAGTAAATAAGAGAAACGTCTTATAACACTTAAAAGATATATTTACGCTTATACTGTTACTCACAAGACGGTAAATATACAAACAAATATGGTAGTGTTTTTTTTGTATATTTACCGTCTTGTGAGTAACAGTATAAGCGTAAATATATCTTTTAAGTGTTATAAGACGTTTCTCTTATTTACTTTCCGTAAATTTAATAACACGTACAATGTTGATCAAGAAGTTATTTATTATTTCAAATATTAAGAATATTTTTATTCTACGAGTAAATTTTGAAAAAACTACTAAGAATATAAAAAAGTAATATCCACGAGTTTTGGAGAGTTGTAAGAAGTATTCTTTTATTTTACCTTCATTGTTTGAGCCCAGATTCAAAATATAAGTTCTTTAACCTCCCCTTCCTTCTTTTTATTACGAAAAAGAACAAGGATAATGGGGAGGGGAAGAAAGGGTGGCTTTTATTGCTAGTTTTAACTTAGTAACTTCATTAGGAGTAATTCAGCACATTATTAAAATTGTTGTAGCACATGAATTGTGGGAGTAAGACAAAATCGTGTAATGGGCAAATAGTGTAGCCCAATTAAGTAAGACCTTCTTGACTATAACGTGTTGGCAGGCTATTTTGCACCCCCAAAGACCTTGTGACAGTTAATGATGTAAAGAGCATTCTGGTATATGCTGTATTTTAAAACTAAACCGACCATGTAATAATGGATCAAATAAACTGTTGCCCGATGCGTTATAATTTTTACATTTTACGTTATTTAAACATGACGAATATTAAAGAAGATATTTAATAAAGCGTAATACAAAAAGATTTCATTCCTGATTGTATTATAGCCTACATGTATGAAATGAAAGTGCTTCAATATAATGTACAATTTTGCCTACATCTTATCTTATCTTATCTTACTATTATTATATGTGTGAGAGTTTGTGTGTTTGTTTGTTTGTATGTTTGTTTGTTTGAAGTTCAATCACGCATTAACTACTGGACGGATTATGATGAAATTTGGCATTATGATAGCTCACATTCCCGTTTAACATATAGGCATATTCTTATCTCAAAAGTCTTTTCGGGCTCCTCCCCAGTGGCTCTGTAGTTCCCCATGTTACCCTTTTGGGTATTCATATTTTAAGGGAATTAAAGAATTTAGACAGATGTTTCAACTAAAAAAGTTAGTTCTATGATATGCAAAAGCATTTACAAGTTATAAGATTTACCAACAGGGTGCAGCCCTATTATTTTTTGCATTTATGAAAACGGCTAATTTGAACTAAGCAGCAAAAGAAACCTGTGATACACAATGAGAACTGTCAAAGCAGGATTGTTTGTTTACAGTTATATTTGTTTTTAATTTCGTGAATAATTTGTGATATTATGCCAATTTTTTATAATTATTTATATTTATCTATTGTTTAGGTGAAGTGGCTGAACATTATGGCTATGGTAGAGGTGTAATATTATAATATACCTTAAATTTAAAGAAGCAAATTTTATCAAACTGTGTCCTCCCCCATTGCAAACAAAAAGCTTGAGTATACATAGCAGCAATAAGCATTTTATACTTATATGCCAACCCCGTACGAAGGACGGGTACTCAGCTAGTATAGCCATATGTATGAAAAGTAGTGTAAATAATTATCTGTATATGGTAATCCACGGATTACTACAGATTGGTTACTAACTAAACCAATATGGGCCATCCTGATGGTTTGCGAGGACATTATGTTTATATTCGTCATTCTTCGGTCCACTAAACATTGGGCTTGCAATTAACATGAATTGGAAATCTAAGAATTAATTTGGTCTAAGTTGAAAAACATCTTAGGTCTTGTTTCTTAATAATTACTCGTTTAAACACAACAGAAAATGGCCAATTTCTGGTAACAACTGTCAGGGTATTTTTGCTTTACTAAATGTATTATTTTCAACCTTAACATGTTTTAAATAAGTAAAAATATAAAAGTAAACCCAAAAACTTGTATTTAAAAAAACTTTCTACAAACATGTTCTGTTACAATAGACGAATATTTTTTTGTAAATAAATGAGTTGCTTCTAAGAGTGTAAACGAAATTAAAGTTTGTGAATACTTGGTTTATACTTTGCTTTGCTAAAAAGCAGTATTCAAAGGAATGTCTTAATTAAAACTTCTTAAACAAATAAACTAGTTTACTTCGTCAAATAAGCTCTTTGTATGGTTATGTGTTTAAGTGGAGCTTGTAAAAGTTGTTTTACGTTATTTGGAAGGCAGTTAATATCTCAAAAGGAATTGTTGTCATGTTATGAATTATTGGCAAATCAGCATGTAAACATTTATTTAAAATCCTGAATAAATGTTTGACAAAACATTTTTTTTTTCTTTTTTAGAAGGTTGTTTTGGATTCCGACGTAGAGGGAATATTATATGATCAAATACCCCCGCCACAAAACACCTGCAGACTACGCACATTTTCATTTAAATGGTTAATTTGGACTAAAATATGCCTATAAAATTGTCAGATTGAATTCTTATTTAAATAGTACTAATTTCAATGGGTACTTGGTTTTCTGCTATAGCTAAGATAATCAAGTTGTATTTTTTATTAACACTAGAAGTCGTCCAGTGGTCGAAAACTCGGCCAAAACTATGTAATGTGCATATTTCTCTATTTTTACTCCACGCTGTAAATACAACATGTGATTGGAATTTCTTCAATTTATTTTGATTCTTTGTTTATATTTCGTTGTTATTTCGTCACCAACATGGCAACCCTTAACGACCATATTAATTTTTTAATTTTCAATTCATTTTTCGTGCTTATTTTTGAGCCTATTTTTATTTATAAAGGGATTCTGTACATCTACAGGCAAATGTCTTTCTGACAGTATGCGTATATTTTCTCTGCGATGCACACAAGCTGAGAAAAAAGGTTTTAAAGAAACATGTTTGCCTATTTATATATAGGTATAGAATATTTAGCATGTATGTTATGTTTTGAGGGTCACAGGTAGGGAAACTGATTTTCCAAAAAAAAAGAAAATTAAACAGATTTGAGTTTTTATAAACAATCTCTCCACAAATATAAATTCAACGATTTTATTCTTAATAATTTTGTAATATTTGAATTCACATGGACTTAATTTTAAAAGAAGAATTAATGATTATTTTATAAAACTAGTTTTGAGCTTTCCATTGAGGATACTTATTACTGTGAGAGAATCACCTCCTCACATTGTAAATTTTAATTGTATAACATTTTAATTATAAGTAAATCTATCATAGTTTTAGACGATTAATACACTACGTTGATAAAATCATTTTAATCCTACTAATTAATTGGCTAAGCAATTATTACAGGGAAAAATGAATTTAAAATATTTACTAACTAACTGTATAGTCAGAATTAAATGCTAAAAAATCAGTTTGGAAATAAAGTTGTCCACTTATTTCAACCCAGGTTTGTTTTTATAAAACCATCAAAATTCTGTATTATTTTTAAATAAATAATTGACCAATTAATTAATACTCTATTAATTAATTATTATTACTTAAAATTAAAATAACAGCTTGTTTTTGCTCCCCCCTGACTTGAGTATAGGAAAATAGCTACGTTTTCCATCCTTTTAAGGGTATCAACCCCTTTGACCTGCATGTTTTCCCTAGCTAAAACAAGTTCTTTTTGTTCTTTTCCGGAATAAATTTCAGGATGGGTAAAGTACATTCTACATTTAAATTTCATTCCGTATTTAATTTTTTTATCTACCGAAGCTGTCAACAAATACTTTAGAAAACTTTATACAAACATCTTTAAAAAACTGTCCAATTAGGGGATTTACACTTTAATAACGTTGAAACTATGCTGTAATTTGTTAATTTAAATTGATGTTCTTATGTAGCTGAAAGAATTAAAACACCTTACCATTTAAGTGTTATCCATACCGGTAACTCTAAAACGCGGCCAATCAACGTCTCACAGGATCGAAGTGAGTATTTCGTGACTCAAGTTCAGCTTTTAACTAAATGTCCGCCCATGCTGAAAGCGCGGGAGTGACTAACATTTTGGCGGGACCGCCCACGCACGCGCTCGCCTCACCACCCAACAAAGCCTAGCGTCCGTGGGTAAGAAGTTGGTAGTTGCTCAATAAATAGTGGCGTCAGTGGGTAAGGAACTAATGGTTATAACCTTCGGTTCAAGAGGTCTAGGTTCAATACCCCGCATACACAAATAAGTGCGGTTTCGACCATTTTCTTCTAAAAGCGTTTACTATTCGCATTTCGCACTTATAAAATGCCCCTAGCGCTGAAACTTAATTTCATCACTAGGGCGTAAAGCGACTCTTTTCGACCCGAGCTCAATTTTCAACCCCTTTTTGTGTTGCGAAATGAGCGAGGGTTGAACAGACACTTTTTGCCCTTGTGTTGAACTTTTTTTGGTCATATGCTACATTAGTTAACAAACCAAGTTAGAAAACAAACATTTCCTTTAAATATAACCTCTCAAAACGACTTCTATCTTGTTTTCAATTTTGCAAATGAAATAAGCGGCTGCTTAGTACTTGATTTGATAGTTTCGTCTATTACGATTGTAATGCCCTCCCTCCCCCCCCCCGCCCCGCCCCCCCAATGATGCTCCTGTTTACTGGTCCCGGTAGATTGGAATTTTGATTTTCACGGCGAAACACTTCTACTACAAGTGCCAATTGCCTGGAACTGCAACTCACTGTAGTTTCACGGCCATCTGCAGTTCCAGTTCGTCTAGTCGCTGCTAACCCGTTTTGCCAGAAGCGTCTCGTGCGTCTATCGCTGCCCACTGCTTTGCATTGTTTTAGGGTTTAGTCTATTTTGCCAGAATCATCTATCGCTACCAATCGCTACCAATCGCTACAGCCGCTAGCGTCTGACGCGGACCACTGCTCCTGGAGCAGACGGAGCGGAGACGCAGTCGCTAGCGATTATTACTGGAATAAGCACGTGTTTAGTTGTTGACTTAACTTTTGTTTCCTTAAATAAGTTGTGTTTTAAAGTTTGCTAAACTTAGCACAAAGTTGAAAAAGTATTATATTGTCTGTGGTTGAACTGTGTAACATCAAGCCGGAAAAACTAGTGACACTTGGTCTCATCAGAGCGGAGGTGATTTTCAATTAACAATATAAAATATTCCTCTTCATGTCTCTTTAAAAACATAGTACACACTTCTTCCCTAGGTTTGCACAACTTCTAATATTTCTTCATCGTCTATTACCTCAGCTAACAAATATTTGCTTTTTCCAGCTCATTTTCATAAACACTCCTCTCACCACCAAAGTTGCAACCTCAGGGTTTTTAGGTTCGTGCTTGGAACTCTCTTTAATTACCAATTTCCTTGCTAATATTTTAATTTGAAACTTTTTTTTATGATAATAAAGTTAGCCTTTGATTTTTTTTTTTTTACTAAATAATTTTATATCGAATTTTACAAGATTGTTCTAAAAACAAAAGTCTTTACTTGAATCAAGATTTTAGGCTATATAAATTTTAACAGCTACGAGGCTACTCGATCCACCTCAGAGATAGGTTAATGTTCTCAAATTGTCCAACACCTATAGGATAGTCTGTAATAATAAGATGGAGATTACCAAGTTTCTTCCAAGTTTCCACATTTCTTCTTGTTTAAACTATTTGAAATGATGAGACTGTTTTGGTTTAGCTTTTCACTTTTTACTAGAAAATATTATAATATAAAAATCATACAAACTAGTTTTTACACTTTCATCAGGCTAGTTCATGGTAGAAGAAGGAGGAAATCCAGTTGTTACCTAACACATGTTTTTCAGCAACAATGTATTCAGGTCTTCTAGATCTTGATGTTCACTGTTACTTTTAGTCACTTAGGCCAATTAATAGTATATGAAATTTAATTTGGGTAAATTACTTTTTGAGATTTTGTTTGGATATATATAATTATTTTTACTTTAGCTTGTGTTTGAAATAGATTTTAAACATAGTATATTTTAAATAGGCTTTTAGGCTTAATTGACTGGTAATAGGCTATTTATATATTATTTAATTATACAAAATTTTATGAACTGTTGCAATATCCCCGCAGAAACTGAATATTACAGGTAATATGAGGTTTCGATACACAGTGAAATAAATTTTGGTTTGAAATGTGAACATTTAATAAAATAAGACTTAACTATTAATGCAGAACGATGGGTGGAACATGGTTATTGAAATACAAATACTTAATCAACACAATTATTGAATCATGAACAATATAACGACAAAATTATAACAATTAATAACATTAAAGATATGAGAAAGGAAGTACTATTGTTTATGTAGGCTATTGGGGACAATGGGGTAATATGACTTTCTCATCACTATTATTATAGTTCATATGAGTTATTGTTCCTTAACGTCTTTCCTCACTTCACACTTTTTAAGTTAATATTTCATTACACTGCAGAGCGTCTATTTTATGTTTTTAATTTACATATTTCTTCTGGTATTTAATTCACTTTGTGGAGTGTCTATTTTTTTTTTTTTTTACATTTAACTATTTACATGGATTTAAGGTCTCTACACACACTTTTCATTTAATTTTCTTCAATGTCGCCAATTTCCTCTTGGACCGCATCTTGATGTATCAAAGGGACTGTATACAGTTGATTTTTAAAATTCTGTGGATTTTTGACTTTTAAGACATGTTGGTACTTATTGCAAATGCCAGGGTCATCAGAAAATGTGTTGCTGTATTTATTCAAAAGACTGCCTAACTTGATTTGTTGCTCTTTGTTTAGTAACTTATTGCTTGCTAAAGATTCAGAGACTATTTTAGGGGAGGCACTTCCTGTATTCTTAATTATATTTAAGTTAGGATCATAATAGTTTGTTTGCATATCATTATTAACACTATCATAATTATCTTCATAATATTTATCATCATTATTTTCGTTCTCAATGCTTCGCCTTGGGCTTTGCTCAAATACAAAATTGCAATTTATACCTTCAACAGATACCTCTCCGAACTTCAAAGTAATATTATTATTATTAATCTTCAATTTAATCACTTTTTCTTTAAATTCATTTCAAACTGCCATATATTTAATACATCATTCCCATTTATTAAATTCCTAACTAAGTTTGGTATGAGTAAAACTTGTAGTTGAGTTTCTTCATTTTCTATCATTACAGGTAACATTATGATTTTAGTTATGCGCTTAGATCGATCTCCTGTAGCGGTTTTAATATGTGTATTTGTAATTGGCAATTCTTCAAAATGACCTATGTGGTGCTTATTTTCTAGGAACCATTTTTCCGATATACATGTTACATTAGAGCCGGTGTCAATTAGGGCATTTATCTTCGATTTATTAATTTTAACACTAATTTCTGGAAAATCAATTTGTTTAATCTCGTGGGAATCATTAATTGATTCATCTTCTTCACTTAATAAAAATTCTCTGTCACAACAGATAACATCAGTTTCATAACAATTATTTAATTCATTATATACATTTGGCCTTATTTTTCCGAGGGGATTTTCTTGCACTGAAGAGACAATTGAGGGAATATTATTTTGAGGGGAAGTAGTGTGTAGGCCATTTTTGCTCTCAGTGCTCTTTAGTTTAAATCCGACTTATGTGGTTGGTCGGTTTTATCGATTATGGTGGTACAGACTTGTCGTTGTTCTGGGGTCATATAATTGGGTTCAGTTCGGTTTCCGTTCCTACTGGGATAATTATTTGAATTTTGTGGAAATCTGCCTTGTGGGTAAGGGAACCAGTTTTGTTGGTTTGGCCGGTTGTTGTATTGTTGGTTGTGGTTGTATGGTCGATTGTTTTGTTGATACTTCATGTCATATCTTGGTTGGTATGCATTTTGGTTGATGTTATTAGTGCGGTCAGGATATCTGTTTTGTGGTTGTGTGTTATAGTTAGGCCTTGGTTCATCTCGGTTTGTCACTGGTGTATTGTGTGATGGGGAATGGTTTTGTTTATTCCGGCGATTTCCGTCTTTTATATCTTCACGCTGGAGGATCGATTCAAATGCAAATATTGTGTTGGCATTCTGTACTATGCGGGCATCTTGTATTAGTTCACTGAAGTGATCGCTTAACAATGTAATAATTTCTTCATCAGTCAAAGGTGGGGACATTGATTTCAACGTTATGGCTCTCTCTATAAAGTATTCTGAGCGGGTCAGTTTTCTTCCAGGACGGTACTTCTCGTTTTCCAATCTATGACGAATTCCACGCTGTACTGATTGGCTCCAAAATTTCATGAGAAAGATGCTTTCAAACTCATCCCATGTATTAATATTACTTTTGATAAGAGAAAACCATCGTAAAGCGCTCGCTTCTAAACTCATCTCTATCGTATCAATTAAGAATTCTTTAGGGTCGGTTGTGGGATTCTGGCAAACCGAATTGCGACAGTAATATTTTTGTAGTTTGTTTAAGAACTCTTTGGGGTTGTGTGCTCGTCCAGTGAATTTAGGTACGTCCGAGTCAACATTAGTTCCACTACCGCAAGATACATAAATGTTAGGGGTGAATGTACCCTGTTTAACAGTGGCTTCGTGTTGTAGAGATTCAATCTTGTTATGATGTTCACTTAGTGTTGTTTTCATATTTTCTATTAGTTCAATGTTTTGTTCAACTTTATCATGATTTGCTTTAATCTGTGGTTCTAGTTGTTCTTGAATCCTATGAGTGTTTTCACTTACTGTGTGTCTGAGTTGTTTATGTTGTGTTTCATATGTTTCCTGAATTTGACTTTTAATGTTATTTAAATTAGTATTCATAGTCTGGCTCATCTCTTCCCTAATAATTTTATTTTGGGTATGGACTAAGCTATTTACTTCAGTTTTATGGGCATTTAGATCTGCTATCAGGTCCATTTTTAGATTATAGGAGCTTTCGGCAATTTGGGTAGCTAATTTAGATTCAATTAATTTCATTTCCTCTGATTGTTTTTGTTGATTTTCCTTCACATAGTTTAATTCCAATTGTAGTTTATTTTGTGATTCAGTGATGGATTCAAT